AATTAGGGTTATTCTTGATATTTTGCTATCGCTTTGAACAATTTAAGTAAATTTTGTATCACCTGGGCAAGGGTTTGCACAAGCTCCACGAGAGAAAACAGTTAACTTAAGTATGTTTCATTTCACTCTAAATTTTGCACGACGGCAGTGCACACTTTACATGCATACTGCTGAACACTGCCGCGAGAGGCGATTCGGTATGCTAATCTACGCTTCTCGTCACGGAAGTACCCTGGTATATCCCCAGGTCTTCGATCGGACAATCGGTACTCTTTTTTTTACAGTCTGCATAATACCAGCCCGCAGGTAGTCTACACGAGGTTGACGGAGTCTAATTGACTTCGGATCCCTTGGCGAGCATATAGCGTTGGCGCGTCGAACATCTGTTAGAGAATCCAGGCAATTGCCCTGTGCCAGCGCTGCGCGCGCGGAGGCAAGCAGGATGAATGAACGTACACCTATTGATAGGTAAAGATCCCGAGAACCCTCATCACCGAAGGGTAATGTTCACCATGGTCGGCCCTGCAGCTATAGAAATTTCATATGAGGATGGGATTGCCCGGACAACAGGCGCTAAGCTCAAGGTGTCCGCAGGCTAGGCTCACCGAGACTCCATTAAGTCCGGTTACACCGCGGCCAAGCAGCCCGCTCAAGTTGTTTGTGCCGAGAAGGGCGAGGGGTAATCGTACGTGCTGAGAATATAGTTCCTGCACGAAAGACAAAAAAATAAGAGCAAGGGAAATAAAAAAAAAATCCCGACGACATGAAAGGCTGATGGCGCGTATAGAGGCGCGCCGCATGTCCTCAGACTCAACTTTAAGCAAAAGATGGATTGAGGCCAAGCTAGAGTTATAGACTCAGTATAGTGTCTCACGAATGCGTGCTCATTTTGTGAGAGCGGGACTAGCGAAGAGAAGTTTGTAGCGAGGCGGCCGACACTCGATGCCCCAAGGGAGCCGGTGTGATATTTATGGTGACCATTTCAACATCAACGGACGTGAATGACAAGGCCATCGGCAACAGTCCAATACTTATGTCTCCATCATTGCCCGTCCTGAACAATCGATGAAATAAACATAAAGGTCAACATCGACGGCTACAAGCGGAATACCTACGTCTATATGCATAATGGCGAAAGATACATGTATCCATCTTTAAAGACAGACCCGTGCATGTCCTAAGGCATCTATCTGACAAGAACATGAACTAAAATAATATATGAAACAGGAACATTTCAAACTATAGTAAGTTGGCAAGATACACATCACGGGAAGACGCGATGTAGGTACAAACCAACGCTGTCTACCGTAAATAGCAACGAAAAAAGAAAGATGCGTTCAACAGTATAAAGAGTTCCCTCGTTCGGTCAGGTAATTTTCAATGCATGTATTTTTTTCCTGGAAGAGGAAGGAAAGCCGGTGCGTGTCTATTTGTTTACACAGCAACAGAGGAGGAAACGTTACACATGCATGATAACTCAAGGGACATTCTACGGAAATAGGCTTTGACGCATTTCATTTATGAAATGAAAGCTGTCAGCCAGGTAGACCTACTTTATATATTTAATGGCGCAGGTTTGACAGACTCATCGGTATTCCTCCCGTACTACAAGAGCTGCACTGTAGCACTGCATATATAGTTTTTATTTATTTAAATTTTATTTTATTTTTTTTATAAAGAACGACATTCACTACATGACACAAACGAATCGGGCAGGCCTATATCGTTCTTTTTCAAATAAAAAAACCCAACTGTATGCGTATGTTTTGCATCCATCGCAAGCATTTAGGACCTACTGATGCAAAGCCTAGTTACAATTACACGAAAACTGCTGAAAAATCCTGTGGCAACGAAAATCAGATTCGCTTGAGAAGAAAACGAATCCAAATTTCCAAATAAAAATAGCAACTTTTCGGACTGGAACGGCAAATGAGTGGCAACATCCACCTCCTTTAAAGCTTGTCCCAAGAGTGCGTCCGACCCGAGCTGAAGATGAACCACTCAGGTCGATATAAGAAGAGCCCCGGAGGTCTGCCCATGCATTAATTCATAGCATCTTTGACTGACAAGAGATAGGAAAATATCCCTTATACCTGGATGGCGTCGATACACAGGCTTGTAGGAACTGTCACCTCTTGTGCGGTATACTGCTCTGCTCTTACCGACGGCATTAAATTTTGCAAATATGGCTTGTGTTTCGATTTAATCTTAATTGAAGCATAACATTAAAAAAGAGGGACTGATCTGACCGTATCTGCTCAAAGATAATAATAAATAAAATAAATAAATTAAAAATAAAACAATCTAAAATATCATCTGGTACATTTGGACATTCTTTTAAACGCATGCCCAAGAAAATATTTGCAAATTTCGTCCAGCCCGAACACATTTCAACTAAAACCCGACATTTTCTGACGATGCGTTTTTCACAAATTCTAAACTACGTGCCATAAATCACTTTTTTTTCAAATCTAATGGATGAGTCCATCATCCCAACATTGCTTCTGTAAAATTACAACTTGGGAACGCAGTGAGAATAAAATGTCAGCCACCCTAACCATCCATGTACATGTACACGTAGAACCCGACACATATACATGTACATGTCAATAATTTTCCTTTCCAATTAGGTGCTCTTTAGAAGCGGCGGGTGATTCATCTTATGTGGTAATGTCACATGTGGGTCCCATTCCATCACCATCAATCTTCAACATTTGTAAGATAGCATTTATGCGCGATCCCATCCATCATCTCATTATAAAGGGGAAATAACGCCGGGGCAGTGGTACTTTCCACATCGTTTGACCTCTGTGACTGGGATGGCAAGTCCCCATGTGAGATTGGGCTATCATCAATATCTACCTCAACGTTTTTTTTTCCCTAAAGAAAATCTTCATGGGTTCTTTTTCTAAAAAAAAATACACATTTCTTAGTGCCTTAGGCTACTTGATCAAGTTCTTCAACCTGTTTCAGGTGATTTTTTGCTGGTCCAAGAGGAGGCAGCATATAGTCCTGACTCCTCTCTATTAACCTAACATTAACTGTGAAGTAGACTTGCTAAAAGTCTCACGTTGGCACAAAGGTTTGAACTCTGAAACAGGATCACCCTGTAATACAATGAATGGGCCATTAAATCCAGCCCAATGTGTATCCCAATGAATGAGAAGACTTCGAATTAAAATAGCCATTCTGAATCGAAGATTAGAATACATGTAGTGTGTGTTCTGGGACCGTCTTAAATTGGCATGCCTTGTCTTGTTTCAGAAAGAGTTGGGGTTTCATTGTCAGAAATGCACGAGCTTAAAAAGAATCTATCATACTGATGACTATGGAGTTGATCATTTGAAGAAAAAAAATGACATCTTTTATAAATTATGGAAAGCAATGAATTGATTCACTATATTTTGGATGAACCCTAATATAACCAAGACTCACTAGTCAAGGCGAACATGTACAGCAATTTCCACTTCACACGGTTTGTTGTTTTCCGTTGCATATTATTTTGATTTTATAGCCCCATGATTCATGCCTCGAGGAAGAACAAATCAAAACTAAAAGCGGTCCATGTTAGCTCTGTTGCCATGGTGATTAATTCACCCTGTCAAGCAGAGCTCCGTGACAAAGGTTTGCGTAATCCGGAGTAGAGGACAGAACCGTTCTCCTACTTGCTGAAAAAAAGTTGACTTTTTTTGGTGATAAATTTGAAAATGAACTATGTTTCAGTAAAAACAGTTCTGTACAAGATTGAGATGCAAAAATGACATGACGAAAAATGAGGCTTTTATTAACGTGGATGCTATATCCGGCTTGAGTAAAACCACAAGAGGCTGAATATCAGACTCACTGGTATAACTAAAATGAAATTTCAGGCAATCCTCTGTCGCAAATTGGACAACTTCCCAATGTGTCTCTTGGGCATTTCTGATGACCTTTTAACCCATCCTGGAAAACAGAGGAAAGGTGTTTCCCCTTTACTTTATGAGTGAGAGAATTAATAAATAAAAAAAAACACCGGCACGCCGGCTCACCAACCCCCCCCCCCCCAAAAAAAAACCCCCAGTTAACAGAATTACCTGCTGACAGCTGTGTCTAGCTGCCTCGTTACAAGTTCAAACGCCTTTCCTTGTTCCAATACGATGTCATTCATCCTAGTTCATACTTAAAGGGAATTGTAATGGACACTATATACATACGTGTATTGCTACCTTTTGGCATTATTGCTAGGATTACAAAGAATCCCAACCAAAAATTCAACGCTGTGCAGTAAAATAATGAAATATCAATTGGCTGCTTAACCATCCAGCCACTGACAAACACGTCAATGTGAACTATAGTCCATCAGTAAACCAACTTTTGACACAGGTTTTCAATTTTGAATTTGAATATCGCCATTCATCCTCGCATGGTTTAGCCAGGGTGCCTTGTACCTTTGAAACACCCTGCTTACTATTTGTGACACATCATTTTGTTTTTAAAATGTCTGTTAAGCACAAAAAACCTACATCTTGAGCAACTCCCTGTTTTTCTAATCAAGGCATTATGAAGAAGCAATTTTCAAATGCTGACAATAGGCCTGCATGCTTTGCCTTACATTTTCCAATAATAACGAGTGCCGTTGTTATATCGATGTGAAAGTTGAAGTATATCCCTATTCTGCATCCCTGGATTTCAGCTGTACATTTACCTAAAATAAACAACTGGTTGTCACAGCTGGCAAACTATCATTATGAAAATAATACGTAATCATCACAAGCGAAGAAACCTGATCATTCCTGTAACACCTGAAATGAGCCAACGAAGTTGATCGTGTATACTTGTAAGCAGGCTGGTGTGAGTTCACTGCGGCATTCCCGAAGGGAGCAGGCACAGACAGGAAGCTATCTACGGTAAGATTTATCAGTTTCCTGGCTCAATCTGCCTAGAATTTGACCTAGATCTAGTTGGTATTATTTCCTTTGCAGGAGGTAGCATATAAAAAGTTGTGGGTGGGGGGGGGGGGGGGGCAAGAACCCTGATCACCTTGACATAATGCAGGTGTAAGTGTAAACTGTGCAGGGAGGCATTTCTGAAATGTTATAAATAGTTTGGCGTATTTATGATGGTGATATATCATCCTTGTGTCAGACATGTTTACTTGACATAATCATTGTCGGCACTTCAGCTGTACACACTGTATCAGCCCTGAGCTTGTCAGCGGTCATGTGACCTAAAAATATGTGGCAGTTTAAAATGCCTGTGACGATGTCGTGCCAAACATTACATCGGAGTGCAGCGTTTGGCCATTTCCAAATTACTTGGCTTTGGCAGGCAGTAAAACATGTGGCTGCAGCTGCATCCATATACTAGGCGCATGTCCAACTGCAAGCTGTAACCAGTTAACTTGGACATGACCTTAAATGTTTGGATATGACTGTAACTTAATGTTGTTCAGCATATAAATAAGTGTAAACAATGCATTGTCGTCTTTGCTGCCTTCTACTACATTGCAGGATTGGAGTACATGTACTTATTATTCAGAATTCCATCCGACGCAAGTACTCAGGCTCAGTAGTTGAATAGATGAATCCAAACTTGTACATGTGTACTTAAAACATGAAATTAAAAACTTGAATTCAAAAGTTCCTGGAATCAAATCACTTAAGTTGCATTAAAAAGGTAGCTGGGCACGACTCCTCTCAAACTTAATACTTACTTCTCAAAGAAGTAGTCAATTCAAACCACTAATCATTTTGACTGTTGCATCTTCAACAGAATGAAACGTCAGAAAATGATGTACCTCTGACAGCAAACATAACTTAGTTTGACAAGGACTTACCTGGTGACAGCTGTGACTTGTGGTGAGTGTGTCTGGTGCCCTCTTGTGACTCTCTTTCTCTCTTCTTCATCGTGACTTGTGAGAATCTCCTCCAGCAAACCTCGACCTTCAGTTTCAGAAATAACATAAGGCATTGTTTTTGTATTACAATGGAAAGTTTGAAAACCAACAAAAACAATAAGATCTGTAAAGAAAAGCTAGAGTATTTTTGTTTAAAAACATTTGAAATGTTGCACATCTTAGACAATGATCAAGTAGAAAGCCTTTTCTCTGATTGCATTTACTGAAAACAAATTACTTACCAGCATGTGTCATTTTGGGCGGTGGGATCTGTGTCAAAGGTCGCGGAGCATGCCGTCTAGGGGCTGGTGTGTCTAGTGGCGACGGCTGCTTTGCCTGTTTCTCTGATCCCATTTCAAGATCATTGTCGCTAGAGACCATTTCTTTTCTTCGTTTAGCTGGTGAAGCATTTTGAGGTGGGTATCTATGCAACGTCACTGCTGGCGTGTACCGATTCTGCTTTTGTGCTTTAACTTTGTCGGATTGGCGTGGGTTTACTAGTACTCTTGGGGCAGTGCAATCTCTTGTAGGCTTCATATCCTGTGGCTGAACTGCGTGTTGTGAAAAAGCTGAATGGGATTTTGGATTGTAATTCCTCTGTTCTTCAGGTCCAGGTGGTTGCCGTAAAGGTTTTTCTGCAGGCATTTGGGACCTACCACTTGATTCCCGCTCAGGAATTGGTTGATCAGAAATCCCACTTCTGACACCATTTAGCAGTGAGTGAAGCTGGGTCAGTGATGGATGTTTCTCCAGTCTCTGTGCTGGATGCTGATTTGCCATAACAAGTTTCTCCTTGAAAAAAAAGTAGAAATCAAAATGAGAAAGAAACACCAACATTTACTGTCTGCCCTTTTAATTAACGGCATGTGATGGCCCGGGGTTTGTTTGAAATGACACATTTGGAGTTAATTTATTTGTTTATTTATTTTTTCACCTAACTCTTATCTCACTGATCCAAGAAAGCTTGGTGGTTGGGTGACTAAGACATCTGCAGCAGTTAGCAGGAGGTTGTGGGTTTGAGTCCTGACCAAGCAAGCTAGTGAAATTTCCTCAAGTTCAACAGCAGTACAGTGTAAGTTATACAATTGTGTCAATGTCTAGGTTTAACATCACTTTGACCAGTTAAACTCCAAACACATTTTTAATTAGGTCAACCCACATAACTAATACTTTATAAAATCATTTCTTAAATCATAATTTCTCAGATCTTAAGATGATTCGCTGGTCTTGTAGTTATATCTGCTTCAGTTACACACAGTTGGGATCCAGCTGGGATATGCTCTCACAAACCTTGGGCATGCATACATGTATACATCCATAAATGTTTAGCAAGGATGCAGGGCCCAATTTCACGGCGCTGCTAAGCACACGATTTTATGCTAACAAAGTCTTCGTCTATTTCACGGAGACCGTAAGCATAAGCACAGCAAAAGGCACGCTAACCTCGGGGGAAAAATTTGCTTAAAGGTATAGTCCATCATTTGTAAGTTGTGCATTTTGTTCGCTTGAAGCAACAAAAGTGATCAAAATCTAAAGAAGGGTGCTGAACAATTAACCTGATGAAGTTTCAGCTCAGCTTCAGCTGTATATTCCGAGAAAAACAACATTCTAGGATCTCGATTCAAATCAAAAGTTGCTGAATCATGTTTTGAATTGGGCCTGAATTCAGCATCCGAGACACGTTCTCACTGAGCCGATTGCAGTTACGCGATGTCGCGCACCAATCCGACGAATTATAGCAACTGCGCGTGCGCGCGTGCGTCGTGTCAACCCTTGCGCACGCTTCACCGAATAAAAAAACGAACTACTAACGGAAATTTCCAACGGTGCTTCTTAAGAAGCACCGTTGGAAAGGCCTTCTTTCGTTGATTTCTTCAAAATGACAGCTTGCCAGAAAGAATAATTTCACAGAGAGTTTAGTCCCCTCACTATCTTTCAACCAAGTATGTTTTTCAACAATAATTACGCCAGTTACTTTTTGGATAGCTGCAAATGATGGACTCTGGCTTTAACGTAGTGACGTAACAATAGAAATCTCCATGCACGCGTGACTGTTAGCACGTCCACGCCGTGATATAGAGCTTAAGGTTAGCAAATATTTCTGCTATGCTAAACACAACTTTTCTGCTAACTGTTAAGCAGCGCCGTGAAATTGGGCCCAGGTTCTAACACCCATTTCAGAGTGGCATTACAGAGTCCCACTAGACCAAAGTAATCCGAACATTTGAATTAAGGTCATGAAGAGTAAACGAAAAAGTTAAGAACCGTTAAAAACAGGTAGGAGCGACAACATCAAATGATCAACTGTTGCAGTCTCTTTGGAATGCTTCTAGTATATCAAGTCAATAGATATTTAAAATACATAAAGTATGCCTGTCTAAGACTAAAATATATTTTGTTTGGCCAGTGTCACTTCTGCTGCAAGTTGGATTAGTGCAATATTTGGTGTGAGGACTTGAAACATAATCAAGCATATTTTGGTAACACCTCTAGTGTTAAGTAAACTGAGAGCAGAGAATGAAATTAGACACAAAAACATGAAGCAGCACAATGAAGTTTAAACTGATACATGCCGAGTTTAATTCAATTTTATCATTGACTTAAATGCACTTAGATTTTAAAATTGGACTGAACACATGCATATTTTGTATGGCAAATGAGAGAAATGGTCTAAAAGTGTTTATTTTGTGGTTGTAACGATACCCTAGGTGAAAGATTTCAGAATCCTAATCTTCAAGCAAACCTGAATCCCCAATCCTGATTATTTGATCGGTGTGGTATTATCCCATATTGCATATCCATATCAAGCTTTTGTAATACATGTATGTGCGAATAATAGGACAAAAGATGAAACGTGACCGCAGCATGTAAGTGTTGCATCACGTTAGCTTGAACAAAATGTATTGTCCCATTTGTACTTGTAGTGTGTGTTCCATATTCCACTGGGCCTTGTCCTCACGACTATGGGACACAGATGCACAAACTGTTTTGACCTGTAAGATAACTTAAATCATTCAGACTCTACCTGCCATTCCATCTGCCTTTCTTGCATCTTCTCTAACTGCTGCAGCCTCTTGTTGATTGCCTCATCAAGTTGACTCTGCAGTTCACCGGCCTTGTCACTGAGCTGTGACACTGCAGTGACTTCCTGCTGCTTCTGTTGCTGCTGCTGCTCAGCTTGTGATTGCTGTGCTCTGTCGCTCATCTCGTGAAGGTGAGCAAGTTTTGCCAACATGGCATCCATCTTACTTTCCAGGTCACTCTGAGCCTGATCAGAAGGAAAGAAAATGGTGTCGATACAAGAGGCATAATGACAACAGTTTTCATTGTTGCTGACCTTACGTAATGGACTATGTGCACAAATAGAATGTACCCCTCATTTTGGTGACATGGAGAGAGATATGAAGAACATAGGAGCAAATGGGCTGTTTGACCAGCATCCATGCTACATGTGCTGTGCATTGAGTGACAAGACATTCACCGATTCATTCTACTTATGGTGCCAAGATTCCAAAAGATAGAAATATGAGTGTTTACAGTAAACCAACCAACCTGGATTTGTTTTAGGCCAAATTGCCGACCTCAAACTTTTATTATTATTTTTGTCACATTTGGCCAAAATTTAAAAGAAAGTATATTTTGAATATAAAAAAATATTCCATATCTGTTATTGGTTTATTCAACAATTACACATGTTTATTTAACATAATACTGTTAAAGATACCTTTAAGTAACCTACATGTAAGTATAAATGACAAAAGAGAGAAAAATAATTATAAAGTTACAAAATGAAATTATTTTCCTGCCTACCTACCTGGAAATTGTTTAGGGCATTACTGTAAACACAAATGCTTTCTCAGCCTTAGGCAAAAAAAAAAAAGTCTCCGGTTTCTGGTATGGAGCTTGTCCAAAATGTGGTGCGGCGACGCAGCTTTTTTTTTTTGGTACCTGACTTTTTTGCTTCAAATGTCGGCTGATGACTGCAAATGGTGCCCGACTAAACTTAGTGAAATTATATGGGGGTCCAGAGAGGCCACATAAAGCTTATTCTCGATCATAACCCCATCTAAAAACACGTTAAAATTGTGCAGCAGCAGGATTCCAGTCAAACCAGTGAGTTTGGCGGTTTTGAGACATCATCTTTCATTGAAAAAAAAACTATTTCATTTTGCCGACGCGCATGGCTACGGCGACGCGCGCGCATACCAGAAACCGGAGATTTTTTTTTTGGCCTTATGTACAAATACCTTGACAATTGGAACAGTGGCAGCTACTGCAGCGGCAGTCACAGCGGCTACTGTGTTAGGGTTGCTGGTGTTGTCTTCAGTTTCATGTTCTGGTCTCTGTCTGTCTGAATGGGTTACTCCATATTTGCTGCCAACCATGGTTGGCCGGACGTATCTCTTAACTGGCCCACTACTCTCCTGCCTGTGTTGTAAAAACCAAGTTACAATTAGCACAAGTGTGGCTTATCTAATGCAAGTATGGAAACAAAAGTCGTACTTGGCTTAAAAAGAAAAGAAAAATGATGACCTACATGTAATTGTTCTATCAGAGGCTGCACACGTACGTTAGGGCTGTCCCGAACATATCGAATACTCAAATATTTGATCAATCAACTGACTATTCAAATTGCTTTTTGCCAGTTTGTATATTCGGGACAATACATTTTAAAAATACGCATATACACACATGACTGAGATGTTATTTTATTGTAAGGTTGTGGTGCTTTATTGTCAGGTGCCACTTTTCTGTCGGTGGTAGTTTTTTGTTGATGGTGGTTCATTGTTCACATCCTTTCAGCAGGTTAAAGCCCTTTAACAGTTATGCGCCTATCAAATGTTTTCCCCACCCCTCCCCTCCCGGGCTGCCCCACCCAAGACGTGGGGATTGTCACTTTTGAAGTGACAAAATCCCCACCCCTCGGGCAAAATTTAAGTGACAATCCCCGACCATGCCCCGACTTACATACGTGGGGCGCACTAGTGATTGCCTTTCCATTAGTACGCTAATGTTAGCAATGTAATTTGAGTGACCAAAATCCCCACCCTGGGGCATGAAAAATGTGACCAAATCCCGACATCGGACCTGGGGCAGCACGGGGTAGGGGGGGGGGGAGACATTTGATAGGCGCATTATCCAATACTTACTGCAAAACACCCCAGCGCCCCCTAACAATTGCCGCACGCGAATTTCAACCGGCACACTCTTTGTGCAACTTTTTTAAATATCCGAATATTTTTATTTTAAATATCCGAATATTTGGTCAAACGCAGATTCAAGTAATTCGTCAGGTCCACCACGAAGTGACGTATTGTCTATGGACTTGGTGCACACGATACGTCACTTCGTGGTGCGACTGACGAATTGAATACTAAATTATTCTAAAATGGACAGCACTAACATAAACTGCAGTAGAAAATGTCCTAATTCAAAACAGGGTATCCGGGAGACACGGGAAACCCCTTTTGTTTACATATGGTACGAACATTCAAGAGTAAAATCAGAGCTTGAAAGATTTTTGCTGGATAAGATGTCTGCTCTACAAGGTGGGTGGTTTGGCTGTATCCTGCCCTAGCAATCCTTTGAACTTTTTTTCATTTGAGATGTTACACCGTAACGATGGTCCCTACATTACTAAGTAATGTTGGGACTGTCCCAACTAATGTTGGGACCCTTGCCACAGTTGGGGCATGATAAGAGATCTCATAAAATTTGAGGCTTTGCATGGTGGGGTATCGGTATCGTTTCGGTTTGCGGTAACACCATGTGGTAATAACTACTGCTTAGAAGATATTAGTTCTGAAAAGAACTTGTCCTGCTTGTTATCAACTTTGCTAAGTAGTTTTTTGTTCTGATAAGAACAGTCCTGCTGTAAGTTCTAAACGAACTTGTCTTTGGTCTCAACGTTTCGACTAGCCTGCTCTAGTCATCGTCAGGAGACTGACGATGACTAGAGCAAAAAACTACTTAGCAAAGTTGATAACAAGCAGGACAAGTTCTTTTCAGTACTAATATCTTCTAAGTAGTAGTTATTACCACATGGTGTTACCGCAAACCGAAACGATACAGATCTCATAAAGCAACAAGAATAAGCCAGAAGAAGTAGTCCATGTCAAAGGTCATTGGGGATAAAATCACTGACGTGATGATACACGATGTTACGCGGATGCCCATTCTGCTTGTAATTAACACGCGAGCGTTGTGCGCCCCTATCCGTGCGCATGTAGCACCTTGGATGAGCGTTCGATTATCCCGAATGACCCGTGACCCATATCATTGTGCGCATGCGCAGTTGAAATACCGACCTGGCTTATTTAGTGCCAGAACAAATGACATCAGTGACCAGGAAACCTTGAATAAAGACTGAAACTTTTTAAGGGTACGAGCAGGATTGTTTAACTAAGGATGGGTCAAATGGCTCCCTTATAAATGTTATGGGCAGGGACACTTTCTGTAAAGAATAGGGGAGTTCTGAAGTATACATATACTAGGTGCAGTGAAGCTGCCTGACATACACTGCATGCAATGAAGAAAGATTTCCCTAGGTATGCCTGGTAAATCCCTTTGTGTGTGTACCTTTTCAAGAGTTGTTCCTTGAAGACTTTCTGTTTCCCACCTGCAGCAAACTGAGTGATTCTGACATTATTGTTGGGACCAGGTGGCTGAGAATGGAGCTGTTGGCTTGATGTAGGGGCTCCCTGCTTCAGCAAAGATGCTACCGAAGACGCTTTCTGAAGTCAAAAGAAAGTTGGTAATTCCAACATTAAATTAGATCAGTTTAATTGGAAATTCTGTGTTTTACCTGTAGAACGTGTATTGTCGGTATAAACGAAAATGTACAGGTACATCCCAATTAAAAATTCTCTGCGGAAAAAAAGGTGCTCTCTCCCGAAGCTATTTGTTCAACATTTCTCCTTGAACTTCAAACCACATTGAAAAACTACATGCACTGAATAAGGTTTTTTATCTCCGATTGTAAGAGTCAATCGCTATCACAACAGTTTGTTTTGAAATCCGTGTCGACAAAGGATATGGAATGGACACTGCATAAAGTCTGGAGAAGATAGTAAACACCCAAAGGGCACTTAGTTTGACTCTGATTAGTAATACCCCTATCCAAAAAGGAGCTGCAGATTTATTTTGCCTACTTGTAAGATCTAAGGAAGGGCCCACTATGTGTGTGAAGTGCACTCTGACCAATGTTCAACTGAATGTGTATTTAAAGTCTTTATGTTTTTTGCACAGGATACACACAAAATGATGGACACACAATGTTAAATAATGAAAGGTTTGCGGAAACACCATGTGCGAATAATTTCTAAACTAAGAGAATGGTTCTGAAAAGAACCAGAGGTATAAACTCGACGTTCCGGTCAGTATGCTCTGACCGTCTTCGGGAGACGGTCAGAAGACGTATGCTCTGACGGTCCTGAAGACGGTCAGAGCATACTGACCGGAACGTCGAGTTTATACCTCTGGTTCTTTTCAGAACCATTCTCTTAGTTGAGAAATTCTTCGCACATGGTGTTTCTGCAAACCTTTCATTATTTAGTATCTCCACCATGCAAAGCCTCAAATCTTACTCACAATGTTAAAGGTTAAGGCTGTGTCACATATTGTATCAGCAACCGAATATCCAAATGGCATATTTTTGATTCAAACATTCGAAAATGTTGGCGGTTTTCAGAAGATGACGAAAAATGTCCATGATGTTATTTACATGTAATTGTATTTGCGTGGTTTCATTGTTTGTCCAATGCCACACTATTGTTGAAAGCCACTTTGCTCATGCTTTGAGGGCTTCCATGCAGAATATAAGCTCAAATTTCTTCTTTAAAATCAGTAAAATATCAGCCATTCCGCTAGCCCTTCTTTACTTTAATGAGCTCTTAGTCAATTTGGGCACAAATATCCCATTGGCGGCAACTTTAAGCTGGCGCAAACGAATAATTGAATACTAAATCATTTGAAAAATGCACAATCCTAATATATATAGTTAATAGTAAAGTTTGCATTTTAATGGGGAGAGCATATATATACTCTACAATTTAACTTACCAAGTTTAAATTCACTCCTCCAGGCACAACCCTAATGTGTTTGTTAACGGTAAAGTTTGCATTTTAATGGGGAGAGCATATATATACTCTACAATTTAACTTACCAAGTTTAAATTAACTCCTCCAGGCGCAACCCTAATATACATGTGCTTGTTAACGGTAAAGTTAGCATTTTAATGGGGAGAGCATACATATACTCTACAATTTAACTTACCAAGTTTAAATTCACTCCTCCAGGCGCAACCCTAATATACATGTACTTGTTAACGGTAAAGTTTGCATTTTAATGGGGAGAGCATATATATACTCTACAATTTAATTTACCAAGTTTAAATTCACTCCTCCAGGCACAACCCTAATGTGTTTGTTAACGGTAAAGTGTTGCATTCTAATGGGGACAGCATATCTACAATTTAACTTACCAAGTTTAAATTCACTCCTCCAGTAAAACCTTTCTGTGTTTTATTATCATCACCATGGCCATCATCTCCATTGGAAGACTTGCTTCTGTCTATGTCTACATCTGGACCTGGTTTCCCTGCACTGCCAGATGTCTGTTGATTCTCTCTTATTTTCTGAGTTTCCCTCCTCTGCTCATAACCCAGGGGCAAGTTCCCAGGCAGGGCAGGGGGCACATAGTCATCCCTCCCCTTGCCTCCTTCATTTTTGTCTTCCTCAAATGGGGACTTCACCTCCCGGAGGTACTTGGCTTTGATACGGACACGCTGTGATCCCGTACTCGAGAAACTTGACGAGGAGGCTCGTCTGTCAGATGAACTTCCGGAGAGGGAGGGACCAAGGTAGGGAGGTGGGTTGCTGGATCTGATCAGGACAGAGCTTGCTGTGGAACTGCTGGATGTGTTGCTGCTTATATTGAGCATTTTATTGTCACCAGGCAGATCGCTAACGAGTAGTGCCAGGGTTTGGGTGGGGAATGACGCTGCAGTTGCCATACCACTCAAGTTAGTCTGATCTGACTTTAAGAGACAAGTAATGCAAACAAGACAGCATTATTATTTCTTAATATGAAATATAGTTTTCAGTAAAGTAGTACAATGCCCAGAAAAATAGTTCTGCTTCCGGTTACCCTACCGGGACCTGTACCCTATTTTGACAGTCTCTACCATAATTTTTTTGTTGGGAAAAATGGGGGAAAAACCATCAATTACTACATTTTAGTAGTGTTGGGATTTTGTGGTCAAGGACAAAAATTGTGTTGCTCGGCATATATGGATTAGCTTGGACCCTACTATTGCCAGACCATGTCCGAATGTTAAAAAAGGCGATAAGTTGGGTCCAAGTTACTTAGACTAATTTCTTACTGATTTGTTTTGTTTCAATTTGATTTGCTTCAATTCAAACATAATTATTTTCAAACTTGCTTCTCAAATTACAAAATTTATTTTTTGAACTAGCAACTGCATGCGCCGCAACGCACGTGTTTGTCCAGAGCTGAGGAATTTTTTTCGTTATTAACAATTCATTGCGACTCCTTCAAAGTGAGCATGGTAATCCTTACTTTTAGGACACCTCTATTTTTTACGAGTTCTGTTCAAAACTGACTTTTGCAGACGACTGTCCAGTACCAATGTGACTTTTGCAGGCTAAAGCAGTCTTTTTTCTTCATATAAACTCATGTTAATGTAATTTTGAAAGCACTTTAGAAGAAAATTTGACTTTCCTACCTTTTTTCGCAGTCAGATGTGCATGTTGTAGTTCTACATAATGAAAGCCCGATGCTGATTGGCTACTAAAAAAATAAATAAGATGTTTATTTTATATCAGCCAATCAGCATCCAGCTTTCATCGCATTGAGCTTTCAGGTTTGCAACCTTGGTTTTTGAGTCTGTTTTCTGGTTGTCATCGTCGTCTTTTCCCCCGGAATTTCCCTCATAAATCAAAGCCCTGCCCTCTTTCCACAAAATTAATCCTGCTGATATTCAAGAAGGTGTCATTGCCAATTGTTCCGATGTGCCAAGAAATATCAGAATGTCAATTTTGAGTGTAATTTAGTCAACTGTTTTGGTGAGTCTTTCCCTTCCTATAGAGGAATGGGGTCCTAAAAGTAAGGATTACCGTGAGCATCATGTCTGGACTTCAGTAGCTGTCTTGAAATTAGAATAAACAGCTAAAATTTTGAAGGTGCAATGCTCACATTCCCAACAACAATTTTAGCAACACATAAGTTTCAAGGAACTTTGAGCAAACTGTGACGCCGTCAGGTTGCAACATTTTTTATATAAAAATGGCAGTGTATATTTTGCCGGAGACGGCAAACCTTAAGTAAACGTTAGTTTGCCGGATATGCACTGAACATGCGCAGTTACTGTTTTTTTGTACTTAAACATTTTCCAGTGAAAAGTTTTAGTCTGGCTCCATGCCAAAATTATCGTTGTTACATCGTATTCACAAGATGGGATTCAGACCATTTTATAATTTCGGACTTTATTTCCCTTTTAAAAAAATCCTCCAGAGCCACAAATCTGAAAAAGAAAATGTAATACTCTGCAAAAAATGTTTGAGACATGTTAAAATAATAAAAGAAGAATATTCTTTTTTATTTGGGGATGAGCAAAAAAACTTTAAAATGTGGTGCGGTCGGAATCGAACGCGTGTCATCCCGCTTACTAGAGCCTTTGCTTAACCATTAAACCAAACGTGCTACACAATTTTTGGTGGGAATTTAATACATCTTATAATTCAGCCCTATTTTAAAGAGTACAGCGCCCTCTGTTGATATGGATTGCCGCCGACAAACCTTTAGTAATCGTTAGTTTGCCGTCATTACCTCCGGCAAAATATCCACTACCTATAAAAATAGCCTGGTTACAACATTGCAACTTTAGCAAGCATGTTTGACGTCAAGTGGAGTGGGGCGGCGTCTGTCATGTCTGTGTTTCGCGCGCAGGTAGCCCCCCTGCACTGGAGTAGACTCCAGTCACTGACTGAGTCAGCTTGGTCAGAGACAGTCATGACAGTCATGCATTGACAGTCTAACCCCCCCCCCCCCCCCCCCCCCCCGGGCCGCCCATAGCTCAAAAGCGCAGCCACGGCAGTTCGAGATGGAATTTGATTTGATCAAACTGATGTAGGTGATGCATATAACTGTATGTAAAAACAATTCTTAAAAAGTTCAAGTTCAAACTAAACAGGAACAAATCCTACGTTTATTTAGGCCTACTCACAATAGTACATCATCGCTCCGAGTCCGATTTCAAAGTTTACCTTCAAGAACGGCTTATAGTCTGACGCCCTCAAGTGTTACACTTTGTTCAGTGCAGTTCTTGATGAGTAGACTTGCTCCAAGTCTTTCCCCGTGCGTTGTTCACAGCATTCAGCAGCAGGCTCTGTACTTTTGTGCGAGATAAACTCGAAATTTTGGACATTTGACCTTGGTCCCCTGACCCCCATCCGACCTAGGGCAATTTAAAGGGAACACGTAATAGGATTTTTATGACTTCAATACTTAGAAAACAGCTTTCTTGCCATGCTACTATGACTTTGCATCTCCTTTGTAGAAGTATAAGGGAGAAATTTCAACATTATAGTTTTCACGCTAATAAAAATTTCCATATTCATGAGCCAAAGCGTGATGTCATTCAAGGCAGAACAGAAGTGTCTCCATAGCTTTGTGTACAAATATACATCAAACTTAAACTTTCAATTCTTCATTTTCTTGGAGTAAGTTCCACTTTTTACATGTTTATCATGTTAAACAGCTTGTTTGGACAATAGTAGTGGCAAACATTTCTTCAAAACTTTTTATTGTAGGTAATTTTGAAGGACTTAGTTTTGTGCTGTTCATATGCAGTTCTGACAAGTAGTTCCTTGTGTGACAAAAGCAAAATAGCGCCCTCTTACATGTATTGATGAAAGGATTTGCTAATAATTGAAAAATTACCACTTTCTTGTCACTTCCGATGAAAACAAGTATTAAGATCTTGTATGTATTGTTGCAACACATAGTAATGAGCATGAAAACAAGGTAAGCTAAATTTCCACTGCATGTTACCCGGCGCAGCGTTTACAAAAAATGATGATCAGAACTCGCCAACTGTGGCCCTTTGGGCCACAGGTACTTCCCCGCACTATGCAAGACCCTATTCATGTCAAAACAACAAAAAGCCACGTGCCAGACAGTTGCCAGACAGTGCACTTAAAAGATAATTGACTGGCGTCTGTGGTATGCAGCTATGAAGGGAGATGGCTGTGTCAAGTTACAGGTGTTTGTATATGTTTCAATGAGACTTGGCAGGAGGCCTGGTCGAAATTTTGTTGACACGGCTTGGGTGAAGCCCTGGCTGCAAAGTTCATTGAACCAGCTGATTTGGCATGGGTTTAATGAGGATTAGATGGAAGGTGACCGTCATTGGCCCTCAATTTTTTTTTTATAAAAAAAACTCGGTCAACTGTGGCCCTAGGGGCCACATGTCACTCTGCCCAGGGTTGAATGGTCAGTCTGAAGGGCGGACAATAGCCTGATAGCATCAAACCGTTTGTGCTCAGTTTGTTAATTAAACTCTACCTACCTCCCGGGCGCGGTTTACTAGTTCCTCCTTGTTCTCTCCCACCTTATAAAACGTTACTTCATTTTTCATTTCATTTCATTTATTATTTCGCAGTTCAAATTTACAATGGTTAAAAAAAAAAAGTCAGACAATATATATAGACATAAAAAAGACATGATATATTTTAAAAAAATACTCATCAAACCAAAAATTATCCAAAAAAAAAAAAAAAAAGAGACAAAGACCCTTACACCAAGATAATTGCACGCCCCTGCGGGCTCCAATAGCATGACTAAACACCTTATTTTGCAAAAACACAAACATTGAACAGCCTTACACTATGGCGTGTCAAACGTTGCAATATTCAATATTTTGCAATATATATGTTGGATGTTCATTATGTGTTTGTTATCTTTTACATTTATGTGCGATGTTCAATATAAGTGTGCGATGTTTTTCATTATTTGCGCGATGTTTAATATATTTGTGCGATGTTTTACAATATATGTGCGATGTTCAATATATGTGTGCGATGTTTTACATTTATATGCGATTTTCAATTTATATGTGCGCGGATGTTTTTAACGATATACATGTGCGATGTTTTCAATATTATGTTCGATTTTTTGCCATTAAATGTGCGAATGTGCGATGTTTTTCGATACAATTAATATGTGTGTTGTTTTACAACATATTTGCGATATTCTCAAATATGTGAGCAATGTTTTACACATATGTTTGACATTTCGAGCTATTTGTATTCGATGTTTCATCGGTATGTTTGCATTCGATCTTCTGCAATATGCATTTGATCAACCTCGTCCCCAGTGCTTACTTTATTTCCAACCGCGTTTCCAATAGTAAACCCTGGATAGGAAACTTTCTTCCTGTATCCTAATTGGATACTGCAATTGGCTAGTAATGGATTTTTATCGTGTACTTGGTGCTATTATTCACAACGTGCAGTACGTGTTTTCGTGATCATTCGTCCACGCCTTCTCGAAATACTAATTTCCTTTCCAATTTGCTCATATTAATATGAAATATGATACTGCATGTTGTCTGGATAAGATCGTAACAGTTTGATTTCAAAAATCGTGTTTTCGTAACTCACGCCGTGCTCGCGCTGCTACGAATTGACTCTGTTCTTACCCCAGACACCGCATACAAAAACAAACGCTAATGTGTAACGCATATCCAGGCACCAGACTGTTCCTCATTTGCATACGTGTGTAAAAATTTTGCACATGCAAATGATCCAATACCAGGGTGAGAGAGCAGGTAGTGGTGGGCGCGTACTGCTCGACACCCTGGGGACGAGGTTGGCATTTGATGTTTCTCTTTTCATTCGATGTTTCGTTAAGAGTCAAAGTCTGGTTACTAGACCGCGAAAGTCTGACTATGTTGCCTGAAGTCAGTGTATGAGACGTCAGGGGATCGCGTGAAGTAATTAGAGCCAGACCTAAACGGTAAAACCCGGAATTGTGGGTAATTCTTTAAGCATACGCAATGCGTTCATCATTGTTTGGGCAGTACCCCCAGCTGTGCCTGTACTACCCATAGTGTTGTGTGCATCATCTATGCATTGAAGAGTGCATGACACATGGTCTGAGCTCCAAGGCCGATGTGCACCTGTCCTAGTTACCTGATAATTTGTTAGCATAAGCTGATGTAAAATTGGGCAAAATTAGATGTTTATGAAAAAAAATCAAATTGTAAGGGGTTAACCTTGCATTTTTTTTAGCAAAATCGGGAAAAATCTTCATTGCAGATTGTATGGGGTTAGATGTTTATGAAACATTTCAAATTGTAAGGGGTGAACATTGCATATTTTAGCGAAATTGGGCAAAATCAGATGTTTCCGAAAAATTTCAGATGTAAGGGATTAACCTTGTTTTTTTAGTGAAATTTTGCAAGGTTAGATGTTACGAAAAATTTCAAATTGAAAGGGGTTAACCTCGCATTTTTTTAAAGCGAAAATGGAAAAAAATCAAATGTTTCTGGAAAATTGCAGATTGTAAGGGGTTAACCTTGCTTTTTGAATAAGATTGGGAAAAATTAGATGTTCGTGAAAAAAATTCAAATTGTAAGGGGTTAACCTTGCATTTTTTTTAGCAAAATAGGACACAATCAGATGATTCTGGAAAATTGCAGATTGTTAGGGCTTAACCTTTGTTTTCTAGCAAAATTGGGCAAACAGAAATGTTTATGAAAAATTTTAAATTGAAAGAGGTGTACCTTGTATATTTAGTGAAATTTGGCAAAATCAGATTTGTATGAAAAATCTAAAATGGTAAGGGGTTAACCTTGCTTTTTCAGCAAAATTTGGAGCATATTTTACTAAAATTGGGCAAAATCATATGCTTCTAAAAAATCCAGATGTAAAGTTTCCGCAAAAACAGCTGTTGGAAAAGAGCCCAATGTTGAACTTTACTGAGTCTGAGGTCTATCGAGGGGACGATCCTTATTTCAACTCCCGGAGATTCGCTGACAGTCTCTATTTTTCTTTTTAAGAAAGTCGAAATAGCTGAAGAGGGAGGTGAGAATCTATTGTGCCCAGATACAAAGAGAAATCTACGCGTCTGCCTTTTGAAAATACACAATTGCGGTGTTCATTGTTGCGTAATGATCCGCCTAGCGCACGACTGTTTTGCACATTAGGCTGTGTTATGCAGCTTCCTAACAAACCAAACACACTGGGCTCATTATATAGACTTGTTTTTACCCATTAAGGTAAAGCAAATGGACCCAGTAATCTTCCTGGCGCGTTTGCTCACCTATAAAGACAACTTTTCTCAGTTTAAGGAAAATTCTAAGGTAACGAAATGGCCGAGTGGTTACGATTCGTCGTCCACGATTAGCGGGGTCCCGGGTTCGAATCCCGCTGGTGTCTTTTTGGTTTTTAACGTATGAGTTCAATCATTTACTATAAGAGATTTAATTTCCCGTCGTAAAGTACCAACAGTACCTTAGCTTAATCGGTAAGCACTGCTGCTGGTACTGTCCGCGAGTTCCAGGTTGGCGCCTTCGTACAGGTTCAGGGCATGTGGTCCACTCGGAGGATCAGGGCTTAGGGGCCGCCCTGTTCCTCCCTTAGCTCTTTGCTTTTACATGGTGCCTGGCCCTCCGGGGTTATATGGATGGATAGGGAAGGAAGTGTGTATTGGTCGGGGACGCCGAGACCCCGGAAGAGAACTAAGGGATCGGCTGGGGCATTGTTATGGCTCAGACCGATCCCTGAAAGCTTGACTAGCACATAACTTTTTGATTTTTTTTACCCTCTATCTTTTATACTTTGGTTAAGTTTGATATCTACAGCTGCTCGGCAGGTCTACGGGTAGTATCAAAATTGAAACAAAGGTGTATGTCATAAATCAATGAATATTTCATAATTGACTATAAGCAAAACGGAGTTTCGTTTGATCAATTTGACTATCATTATATAATGACGCGATTGCCAATTGACGTAGGAAAGCCATAAATTATACCGGGAAAGAATAAAGATGTACATTGTAATACAAATATTATTTATACATCTTTCAAATAATGTGTCTTTAATTGTGAGCATTCCAAACAATACAGTAATTCGCAATAGTAATAGAATGGTATATGATAGCACGATCATTGCGTCTCTATTAAATTAAAAAATATAATTTAGGCCCTTATGTGTGAAATATTCTTTGATTGACTTTGATCTTCCATACGAATGAGTTAATTCGCAAAATATAGCAACAA